CGTGCTCCGCTTCGGTGGCTCAGGGTTTTGCTGGTTCAGATTCTGGGAGCAGACACGGCACTGCTCATCAGGCCATGCTGAGGTGGCATCCTACATGCCACCACTAGAAGGACCCACAACTAAAATATACAACTATGTACTGGGGGGATTTGGGGAGAAAAAGCAGGAAAAAAAAAAAGATTGGCAACAGTGGTTAGCTCAGGTGCCAATCTTTGAAAAAAAAGAAAAATCCATTATATGGAGCATAATGAATTTTTTCATAAAGAAAATTGTCATATTGGGTACATGACGTTAGAAAAATCTAGTGATTATGAAATATTAAATGTTAGAATGTCAAAATACATAACATTTTGAATATTTATAAACTCAATCTTACAATCTCAGCCTGATACTTATCATAATCTATTTTGCATCAGTTTAGACACCAGCTCATTTTCTCAGCTCTAGTATCTGTTCCTTCACCAATTTTCTCTAATTACTTCACCAGACTGGGCCTGCCACACTGAAGCTAGAATCATATAAAAGCTTTGAGCCCCAGAAGCTACCTCAGTACCCAAGAACCATTCCCATTATTGGTGCTTCGCATCCGTCCTCTACTTTACTTGGACTTGTATTCACCCATTTAAAAATCATTACCAAGCCCCATGTTGCAGACCTCATGCTGGGCACTGGAGACAGAATAGTAAACGAGAGAAACACGTCCATGACTTCAAGGAGGGAAGTCTGCTAGGAGAGACGTCCAGTGAACAAATAACCTCATTAAAAAATAATTATAAATTATTCTAAGTACTGTGAAAGAAAAGTATACGACTCCATGATTGTATGACAGGGAGATCTGTCTCCTCTGGAGACTCAGAAAAAGCTTCCCTGAGAAGGTGAAATTTGACTCAAGACCTGAAGGATGGTGATGAGGAGAGTTCCAGGCAGAGCAAGCAGGACTTTTCCGCTCCGGACCGTTGCTGGAACTTTTACTTCCACCTTTGCTGTCTCCTGGGATTTTTCTCCTGAGTTTTATTGTATCTAGCTACCAACCCTGACCCTTCCTATCACCATAATAATAACAGTTAATGTTTATTGAGCTCATACTACTTGGAAGATAACATTCTAAGCAATTTACATATGTGAACTCATCTAATCCTCATCGTGACCACACGCAGTAGGTTGTATTTCCTCATTTTACAGATGAGGAATCTGAGGCACAGCCGTAAGCTTCTTGTCCAAAGTTACACAGCTACAGCTACAAGTCCTTGCACGTCCATCATCTCCTCATAACTTACCACTCTCACAGAAATCCCACGGCACCAAGTTAAATGAGGACTACCACTGGGCAAAGAACACCCAGTTTCCTACATCCAGCAAACTGCTACCATCTTCAACTAGGCAGGATCATGCTGATCTTCTCCATGTTTGAGAAATTAGGAATGAAAACTTGACCAAAGTAGCCTACGTTAAAAGATTTCCAGGAGGAAGAAAAATGTTTTGAGACTAAGTAATACATTCTTACTAAAAGTTATTCACTCAGAATACAAAATAATGAAAACTCAGCAAGGAGAAAGAACTATAATTTCTTTCATTCCTCCTGCACCTTCCAAGGGAGAAGGAGATAAGAGGATTTTTTTTCTTTTAATTCAAATTCATAAATATTTTTCTTGTATTTGTAAAACTAAATTAATATGTAGTAAATTGGCTATGATATAGAAGAAATTCCCAAAATCAATTATTTTCTTGAGGTAAGTACCTTTTACATAGTAAAGAAAAAGAAATAACTATGAAATGACCAAAGCCTCACTCAAAGCTCTATTTACATATTTTTTTAAGTTCCTGTTATGATCAAAAGTTTCCTTTGTAAATTCACCATTGAGGGTAATGTGAAAAACAGTAATTAAGCGCGTGATTGATACAAGTGAGAGTATGAGTCATAGTTTGCAGAAGAAAATGATTTTGGGGAAAAGGCTCAAGACGAAAAGAAGCAAATAATGGATTCTGGAAGAAATGAAGACCTCTCCTGTCCGAGGACTGTCACCAGTTCTTTATTACTTGAAGATTAAGGGAATAGTGAATAAGGCTGTCTGCCAGACAGCAGAAAAGGTAAGAAATAACACTGTCTCTAAGTATACCTCAGATGAAAGTTCTCAGACATAACATTCATAAAATTAAACTTTCTATAAAAAGTTACTAGAAAACCCAACTAAAATCAGAACAATGGAAATGTCAAAATAAGGCAACCTTATGTTTGTCAGGAACTTGAACAGAATGAACGGCAGGGCAGGCCAAGTGGTAGAATCGTCTAATTTTACTCCACTTGGTTTTTCAAAAAAGGCAGATCCAATACTGACTGAGTAGGAGACTTAGTGGGTTTGTTTTTGTTTGGCTGTTTTTTATTTCATAGGTTAGTGCAAAATAAATCTTTGATTTTTGCTACTAGCATTCAGCAAATTTACACAATGAGCTTTGGTTTCTGGTTCCAGAGGTCAAATTCAAGATACTCTCTACAGTTCCACTCTCTAACTAACTGGTCCTCCCCCTCACATATATATCTCAAATATACCATATAGATTTATATAAACTTTTTTTAAACCCACATTTAGGTATGGATATTAATTGCTATCCTTGCATTATGAATCTTAAAGGAAATGCAGAGAATTTCATTTTGATGAAGTCGGATTTAACAGGATGTTTTGTCCAAACTAATTTTTTAATTTACATTTTCATGTTTATTTTGGAGGCGCTATTAAGCAACAGCATTGAGCTGGATGCTTTATACACATAATCTCATTTAAGAATACCCTGTTTATTTTGTTACATAGATACTGCCTGAGGAGAAGGCAAAGAGAATAGTTTTATGATGAAGCAACCTAAGTCTTATCACTGACGGCCTTTATATGAGCCACATCCAGCCATTCTAGCATACATCATGTATACAGCTTAGAACTTAGTTCATGAAAACTGTCTGATCCAACTTGAAGAATTCTCAAAAAAAGAATTAAGAGCTGTATGTCCCTATGTATATGTGCACACATGCATGCCAGACAATGGATTCAAACCTATGCGGTCCAGTCATAGAATCTTTGCTCTTAACCACTAAGTCACTATACGCTGGAAAAAGAAACAAGGTGTGACTTTTAAAATGAAAATAACTGGTTGCTAATAATAGCAGCTTCTAGAATAAGAAATCATATTTCTGAAGTCAGTATGCTAAGTATTAGCATTAATATAAACAGATATTTGAAGAAAATTCACTACTACGAAATTTCCTTTCGTAAATGTGCTTAATTTTCAGAAAGTCTCTAGCTTCTTCTTTTTGGATATTATATCACCTAACATTTTTGTGATCTCTTTATAGATTTTAAAGCATTTTCATATCTAAGATCTTATATAATCCTGCCAGTAACACTACAAAAAAGGCAAGTGTGATAATTAATTTTATGCGTCAACTTGGCTGAGCCATGGTGCCCAGATGTTTGGTCAACCATTATTCTGGATGCTTCTGTGAAGGTATTTTTTGGATGAGATTAACATTTAAATTGTGGACCGCCTAAAGCAGATTACCTTCCAAATGTGGGTGGGCCTCATCCAATCAGTGGAAAGCCTTAATAGAACAAAGACTGACTTCCCTGGAACAAAAAAGGAATTCTGCTAGCAGATGGCCTTTGGACTCAAACTGCATCTCTTACCTGGATCTCCAGCCTGCCAGACTCCTCTGCAGATTTTGGATTTACCAATTCTCTATAATCTCATGAGTCAATTCATTAAAATCAATCAATCAATCAATCAATCACTCTCTCTGTTCTCTGTCTCTCTCTCCATATATATACATAGGTATTGAAGCATTCTGTATATATGGAGAGAGAGACAGACATACATACATACACACACACACACACATCCTATTGGTCTTGTTTGTCTGGAGAACTCTGAATAAGACAGCAGGGTAACTGAAAACTACGTCTAACAAAACAGGGAATAGGAATTCAGATCCACAACTTTGTCTTCGGTCATTCCTGAAAAGATACTAAAATTCTGAGGAATAGGGGCTAGCCCCACGGCACAGCAGTTAAGTGTACACGTTCCGCTTCGGCGGCCCAGGGTTCCCCAGTTCGGATCCCAGGTGCAGACATGGCACAGCTTGGCAAGCCATGCTGTGGTAGGCGTCCCACATATAAAGTAGAGGAAGATGGGCACAGATGTTAGCTCAGGGCCAGTCTTCCTCAGCAAAAAGAGGAGGACTGGCAGGAGATGTTAGCTCAAGGCTAATCTTCCTCAAAAAAAAAAAAAGATAAAATTCTCAGGAAGCTACACTAGAATTCAGTTTTCATACCCTAACCACTTAGCCAGGGTAATGTTCTTTTTCTTTTATAAACTGTTATTTGACAAAACTAACCACCTCTGGAAAACAGTTTGGCAGATCCTCAAAACGTTAAGCAAACCACTACTATATGACCCAGCAATTCCACTCCCAAGAGAGCTGAAAACATATATCCACACAAAAATTTGTACATAAATGTTCACAGCAGCATTATTCACAGTAGCCAAAAAGTGGAAACATAAACGCCTTTAAATGATAAATGGATTTAAAAAAATGTGGCAAATCCATACAGTGGAATAATTCAAGGAGAAAAAGAAATGAAGCACAGATATACACTACAACATGGATGAATCTTGAAAACATGATAAGCAAAAGAAGACAGACACAGAAGGCCACATAGTGCATGAATCCACTTATATGACATGTCCAGATTAGGCAAATCTATACAAACAAAAAATAGATTCGTGGTTGTCAGGGCCAAGGCAAAGAGGTCAATGGGAGTGAATGCTAATGGGTATGGGGTTTTCTATTGGAGTGATGAAAATGTTCCTGAACTAGATAGTGGTGACGACTGCATAACCATGTAAATATAGTAAAAAACACTGAATTGTACACTCTAAAACTGTGAATATTCAGATAAGTGAATTATATCTCAAATAAAAACATGTTAAAAATATAAAACTAATCAACTTACCTGTCCTTTTTGTGGTGCCAAACAGCGAACCACTTCCTCCACCATTACCGGAATATGTAATTTAGTCATGGCTTCTGAACTGCTGTCTTGAGATCTCTGTAACTCCTCAGCTCCAGTTTGATTTGTTTGCTCCTGGGCTTCAGAATGGCCATATCTTTCTGCTGTAGCGTGTATTTTTTTTGGCCAGACACCTAAATTAAATACGCCTGATTCCAACGAGCATGAAAGCAATTCTTTACGGATTCTAGAAAAATATGGGTATCGAAGCATCCTGTAGCTCAAAAAATCTAGAAAAAAAATTAAAAATATCATGATTGCTGGATTTTTAAAAAGAATGTTATAATACTTGGTAAAAAAGCAAATTAATATGCAATAGTTAGCACAGGAGAAAATACGTTAGACTCATCATCTCAAACAAGTGACTAACGGTGACTAAGCTCCTTAGGAAAGCAGGAACCCAAGACAACCCCACAAACGATCTAAAAATATCAGTTTTTAGAGTGGCCTGATAAGCTCTAAGACCATCAATGTTTTAACCACCATAGATGTAAAAGTTGACTATGTAGATATAATTTTTCTGAAATATACTTTTTTTGAATTTTAATTAAGTCCAAAGAATGGGTTCAATGTATTAGAACTGTTTATTTGCAAAAGCTATCTGGATGACTGAAGGGATTATTAATATTATCCTACTTCAGGTTCAAGTTATCTTTTATTTCAAGCTCTTCTAATTGTTTTTCTCATAATGTTAAACCTTCATCTTCACTTTAACTCTGAGAAATTATCCCTAGAAAAGACTAGGCCTGTACAGCCAAAAAGAAAGGGAGGTGATCGGTCTGTGAAATCTTGCAGACTTGTCGTGGATATTCTCTGATACTTCATCTCACCATGGCTTATAGATCAATGAAGTATATATCAATTTAAACTATAACTTAATAGTTATACACTTAATAGTTAAACACTCAACTTGAGCAGACACTGGCATTCAGATCCACCTTTGTTTTAACTGTCTGCTCCCTGCCCCCAGAAACAAGCAAATAAATGATTAATACATTCCTTTCTTTTCTCATACTTGCTCCATTTTATTCTGCAATCTGTAACTCTTTAAAATGCAGAGGGAAAAGTATTTATGTAAATACATTAACAGAAGACATTTTGACTACATTATGCTTTTTACTCAGCTGGTTGCCAGCAACATTTTTGATACTACTACAGTAAATACCAAGTTAACAGCACTCCCTCTTCCTCATGGATCATAAGTTATTTAAGAGTAAGACCCACACTTTTATATCCACAAAATCAGATGCACACTAAGTGCTTAATAAGTGTTTTCTGAAAGAAAAAAAAATGGACGGATAAATTTCTAAAGAACTAACATTTTTATCAGAACTTGCTTTAGGAAATTTCACCTCTCTGACTGACCCTATCAAAAACAACATTCTGAAAATACTTCAAGAAACATAAATCCCACTTACATATACCTTCCCTTCCTTTTGCAATAGAAAATGAAGCATAATGTTGAAAAGTTGATCATATCTAATGACTAGAAAAGAAAGAAATACCAATGTGTATATATTTGATATTATATAAATATAATATCAACAAGACGTTACCTTGAGAATAATATGTCAACTTTATCAAAGACACAATCCATAGAATTTATGTGGCAAATGTGACACAGGAAAAATAAGACCAAAAAAAAAAAAAATAGTAGACGAGAAATAAGTTTTTTAAGTAAAATTTTGGATTTTAGGCAGTGAAAATTAGCCAAATTATTAATTATGCCTTACATTTTCCAGAAAGCTTATACAAAGTCAACCCAAGCACCTTCTAACTGAGTGTTTCTAACATTTTTCAACATAAAAGCTAACGTCTATTGAGCACTTACTAAATACCACTTACCATCCTAAGCACACTACACGTACTAACGCATTCAATCCTTACCACAACTCTTAGAGGTAAGTACTATTATTACTTGCATTTTACAGATGAGGAAAACAGAGAAGTAACTTGCCAAAAGGTCACACAGCTAAAGACCCATAAAGCGAGAACGGTAACTCCACCATTCTACCCCCAGAGCCTGTCATCTTAACCTCGATGCTATAAACATAGGCAATGGGTCTTTTTAATGCACTGACATAACTGGAAGGTACTTTAATTACGCTATGTATTTGTAGTATTTCATGAATCAGATTCTTTCTTTTTTTAAGGAGCCAATATTCTATTGCTTTAGTCCTACTCCACTCAGAAATATAGTGTTCTGTGGGGTACCCAACAGAAGACATACAATGTATAGGTCTAAATAGTGGAATCTGGACGATTTAAACAAGCTACGCTCTACGTCCAGATTTTGATAATTTTTTAAAAAACGAAACAGAAAAACTCCAGCAATTCCAACATACGAAACAGAACCACAAAGGAAAAAGCAAGTAGAATAGATAGAAAAAATGCTTCTTCTGCCATCATTTAATTCTTTTCTGCTTTCAATTTCTATGTATTTACTCAACTATGTTCAAGGCACAAAGCCGGAAGGCTTTGTTGTGCTCTAATTGGCTACTAACGTGGGCCAACATGGAGAAAGGGGTTCAATAATTAATCTTCCTTTTTGGTTGCTTTCTGATACCTCCCCCAAAATGGAAGGGGGTAAGCTCTAAAAGGAGTTCCTTCCCTCTCCTCTGCAGCCATGTCTCCTACCAGATCTTGCAGAGCACTCCTGTAGCCTAAGAGCCGGCCACCCTAAACGACGTGAGGCAGTTTATGTTCCTTCTGTCACAGGAAGGAGCAGGGAGTCAGGAATCCGGGGCTCCAGAGCCAACTCCGTGGTTTCCTAAGTAAATCACTTAACTTTTCCAGGCCAGCAAAGTCCAGTTTAAACTGCTGAGACCAGGGCCTGGGCCAGGTTCCTCTTTTAACTGCGGGAACGCAAAGGGGAGTGGTCCACTTTTGAAAAGGCCTTCCTCCGCGGCGCTGCCAAGTCCTGCCATCGCAGTCGGCTTTGCCAGCAGAGAAACCCCGTTGGGAAAACTTAATTCCTAAGGCCAAAACCCGACCTGGAGGCTGGCACCTGAACGCAGAGCAAGCGAAAAACGTTCTAAGGGAAAGACAGGGAGCATCCTCTTCCCTGAGAATGACACGCTGACGAGGGAAAAGTGTTCAGAAACTTCTGAACTCCAGAGGAAGGAGTGGAGCACAGGGAGCGGGAGCGGGGCGCGCATCCTGCGTCCGGCGAGGACAAGCGAGCCCTGGAGAAGGCCCCCCATCCTGGGGCGGGCTCCAGCTCCTCACCTGAGGCGCGGAAATGGCTCAGCGGGCCCCTAACTCGGGACAGCGACGACCACAGCGGCGCCGGAGAACCTGCACTTGCGGCACACGTGGGCCCCGCCCTGGGGGAAACTTGAGAGGACGGACAGACTGGGCCCACGTCCGCCCGGGCACGCGAGTCCCGTCTGCCTTTCGTTCCGCTGCTCCCCTCCCCTGGCTGCCGAGGGGTCGCCATGCGCTTGGAGGGGCCGGATGGGGTTCCTGGGGGAGCGGGTTAAATAAGACCCGACCATTGCCAGGTTTAAATTCACTTCTACTTTTTTTTTTTTTTTAAGTCTGATGCAACTTTAAATCTAACTTTCCATTTTACCCTTATTTCCACTCTTTCAGTTTACTGTGAACCTAACGTAAATTTCTGTGTTCTGAATGACACGGCAGTTAGTTATACTTCTGGTGGGAATTTCTGTCTCCTTAGCACTACATTTGGAAAATTTGGGTTCTTTTTACCCTTCATTTCGTTAGAAAATACGTCAGTCTCTTATCCTTTCTGTTATACCCCTTAATGTCTTGCCAAACTAAAGGAAAGCCAGCTGGCATAGTAATGGCATTGATTGTAACATTAAAATTCCTCTGCTTTAACTAAATATACAATCCTTTAAGAATACGGAACGCATCATCTGAACACTACTAAATGGCAAGTGTAAAGCAGAATTTAAAGTTATATGTAAAATAAGTATTTAGATTAGGTGTAGAAACACCTGTGAGACTGCTAAGGATTATACAATGCGGGTGTCAAAAACCACGAAATTTAAAACACTTCTACTTATTCACCAATGAACAATACAATTTTACAAGAAATTGGTAATACATGCCTATTTTCAGACTAGATTAAGATAGCATCTTAACATCACTTGATCTAGAAAGTGTTTCAGAGACGTATAATTCAATTCTGTCTTGGCTAGTTTGTACAGTTCAAGAGAAATATTTTCCTTAGTGATTTTCTGAAAACTTCAGTCTTCTCTTCAGTAAAATAAATAGTGTCTACATTTCATGGGCTGTTTTGAGAATTAAATGAGATAACATACATAAAGTTATTTGAAATAAAATTAAAAGGCTTCTCAATTTTATTACCAGACCCAGTACCACACAAATAACTACTGCATTAGCTAAGATATGTGTAATACAGCCAGCAACTAGTAATTTTATTGATGCTGTATCCAGTGTTCAGAAACAATCATATAACATACATCATATACAATACACAGTGCTTCTGAGTTTCTTCAACAGGAAATAAATGTCCATAATATGGGGATTTTCCATACGTTGTTTCACTTACAACACTCTGCATTGGTTTTGTGCCATCCTATTGATACGGTGATACTGAATCACCAGAATGGAAGCTCCAAGAGGGCAGGGATTTTGACTCAGTTGTGGGCTATTATGTCCCTAAAATCTCCAATCAATAATTGCCCATTCAGAATGAATGGACACAATAATGCTAATGTAAAAAACAACATACAGATCACGCTGTTAAAAATATCCTGACAAATAAAGACGAGATATCTTAGCAAACATATTTCCCAGGTATTTTTTTTCCTTTTTTTTAAAGTGTACATTCTGAAATAATACCTACAACCTAGGACTTAAAAAAACACTGCATCCAATAATGAACTAGGCAAATACACTGAAACACATTTATTTTCTCATTCTATCATTAGAAAGAAATCTAAACAACAGCCCTACACCAAGTAGTTTCACGTTCAGCACTAAAAGGAGCAGGACCCGGAGTCCCGAGAAATGAAGCCTGGGGCCTCCAACCAAAAGCCCCTGAGTTTCAATCAGTCAAGGCGAACTGACCCCAGTTCGGTCCAGGTGAAAGTGGCGGGAAGGCACAGGTCCCTACCCCTTCCAGAGCGCGGACCTGCGCCTTGGCGGCCTCAGTACCCAAAAGAGAAATGGACAAGATAAATACTCAGAACCCATTAATCCACACCCAACAAGCTCCGCCCCTCCCCCTGGCAGAGCACACACGCCAAGCCCCGCCCGCAGCCGTCTCACTCACACCCTGAACCCTGGGACCCAGCCGGCGCCCGCGGCTCCGCACGCGCCCTGAAGATACCAGGTAGCCGCCTCCCACCTGCCGCTCGGCCTCGCCCCGCCCACCTCGGCCACCGCCTCCGCCCACGGGCGTGCGCGTTGCCACGGCGACGCGGAGCCTGGCAACGTCCACCGCGCAGCGCGGCTGAGCCTCCTGGCGCCGAGCTGCCGCGCGGCGCGGCAACGTCCGACGTGATGACGTCACGAAGACGGCAGCCAATTAAAGGAGGCGCTGAGGAAGCTGGCTTGGGTTTGAATCTGGTGGCTGAGTTTGAATCGCGGGGAGGCGGATGTCGAAGTGAGGGGCGGCGGTAACTTCGCCGGGGCCTGGGGTGAGTGAGAGGCCGGCGAGGAGACAGCCCTGGTGTCATGAACGCCCCCTTTTGATGACCCGTATCGCTGGAGCGGAGGGGTCCCGCCGCCTCAGGTGCGGAGGACCAGGTGTGGCTGTTGACAGACGCGGAAACGTTGGTGGGGGAGGGGCGGGGCGGGGAGGAGGGGGCGGGGGCGGGGCGCTTGGGGGCCTGCGGGGACGCGCGGGAGGACGGGGTGCGGGCCTGCCCGCCCAGCCCCTCTGCCCGGAGGGGCCCTGCCCGCCGGCGCGGAGGGCAGGGTCCGCTGCCCTGGATCCCGAGAAGGCGCGAGTCCTGGAGGGCGCCCCGGGCGGGTTCCTTCCCGATCCGCGTTCAGCGTCTGGTCCAGAGGCGGTGCCGCTGGACTCGGGCCTGGGCCGGCCCCCCGTGTCGCACACTTGCTGTCCGGCGGGGTCCGCTGCAGCTTGGCCGGGTCGGCCGGGAGCCCGCCCCGAGTGCCCGCGGCGGCAAAGGGCCGGTGCCCATCCCGAGAAGACAAAAAGGCCTCGGGGCCGAGGGAGCGCGGGTCACGGCAAGGCCGGATAGGGGGACACACCGGCGTGGCGGGACTGCAGTGTTTCGCCCAAAGTCACCAGGAGGTGTTTTGCCGCACTTTAGCTCGTACCCAGCAGGTCAACCTGACCTTAGTTCTCCGGGAAGAACAGCTCTCCTTCAGAGGAGGGCTGGGACGGTGTCAGCGAGCGGGAGACGCTCCTCGCTGTCATTAGAGAGGCGTTCCGGGCCTTGGGGAGTGTCCGAAGCACATGGACAGGGCGTGTGTGCTGGGGGCTGCTCGGGGGAAAAACACGTTTTGGGCCGAATCACCTTAAACCAGAGTTGTCTTCCCCATACCCCTCAATGCGTGACAACTTGTCATCCTCATCTGCCTGCCCTGCCTCCGGGGACTGCTGAGGATCAGGGGAGGTGTGGAGGAGAGCCCGCCTGGCACAGTGCTCTGCGAGGGAAAGGGACTGGATACGCTGAGAGTCTGGCCCGCCTACCCTCCTCCAGGGACTCATTAGGCACTGGGTTACTGAGAGGTCAGGCTGGCTGCTGTTTCCTCGAAGAGAAGAGGTCATTTGACCAGAACTGAATAAGCTTGGTTGTATAATTTGTAGTTTGAGTCATTAACTATTGACAGTTGGGTAAATTGTTAGGCATTCTACAGGTTGTAGTTGGTAGTGTAGTTGGTATTTATGAACTTGGGTGCTAGAGAGTATAAGATACAAAGACTAGATAGTGTTTGCTTTTAAGCTTCTGTTATTTTGTAAGAATTGTCTGTTTCAGTAAACAAAGATTATCTGCCTTGATCCGTAGGAATTAATCTCTTCTGTTATTGAACAAGTATTTGGGAGTACATAAAATTTTCATTTTAAAAGTGCATCTCATGCCACTGTAAATATACCCTGAGTCAATTAAGGTACACAACAAATCACTTTCATGCTGTGAACTCTGCGAAAATTAAAAGGAAAAAATAGCCCAGGTGTCAATGCTGCCCTTCCCTCCATCTGCAATTTTCATTTTTCCTTGATGCTTGTAAATTAGTAGAAGCAGTGGCTCTTATACTGAAGTTATTTTCAAAAAGACGTTTATGTTGCATCGAGACTGTAAGTAATCGTGTGGAGGATAGTTCCTGGTCCTAAAGAAATGTTCGTTGAATCTGAATCTAATTCAAATTTGAATTGTATTTAAGAAATAATTTGTAACTGTATCACTGCACATTCAGGACAGTTTGTGCAACAATTCTGTTTCGTTGTTTGAAAGCCTCCTTTTCTGGTTCCAGTGGAACACAGTTGTTAAGAACATGGACTTTAGATTTGGGCCTGAGTCCACATTCTGGCTCCACTTACTAGCTGTGTCATCTTGGAAAAATGACTTATCCGAGTGCTAAGTCTCTGCTTTTGTAAAATGGAGACAATAATAGAATCTACCTTATATGATTTTTTTAAGGATTGTATGAGATGATGAATGTCAAATGTTTACCATAATGCCTGATATATTGCGTGTGCTCAAATGATAATCATTTTTGTTCATTATTACTAGTTAGGACCATATTGACCTAACCAAGAGTTCTCAGTTAATAGCATATTTGCTGAGAATAGATACTGTGTGATATCTGACAAGCACAGAGAAATCATAAACTTTCAGTTTTATTTCAACATTCATTCACCAGTTTCTGTACTAGACCCTGAGGTTTCTATCAAAAGTAGGCAAATATATATTTTTAACTTATATAAGAAAATTTCTGGGGATTATATGTTTACATCAGGGAGAGTAGTGATTAAAAGCTTGAGCTTTAAATTCAGTCATTCCAGAGTTCAGATTCCTTGTGCTTCCAGTAGTGTGACTAGCCAGTTAACTTAATCTCTCTGTACTACGGTTTCTCGCTCTATAAAATAGGAATGATAATAATACCCGTATCATAGGATTATTATGAGAATTAAATGAGAAGTATGTAAATTGCTTAGCAGGTTTCTCTTTGTAGAATAAAGACTCCATAGAAAGTATTCCATAAATATAAAATTGTAATTAAATGGAAGGTTGTGTTTAAGGTAAATTTTAATAGTTTTTGGTTTTTGAAATAAAAATACCTAGGCTTGTCTAAAATCCAAACAGTACAAAAGGATATAAAGTAGAAAATAAGCCTGCATGTCACCCAGACCTTTATATTTCCCCACTCTGGGGCAACTGTTGCTATTAATTTCTTGTATTCTGTTCCTGAGAGCCCTTGTGTATCCAGGTATGTACATGTCTTTTAAAAATGCAAATAGTTGCATGCCAAGTCTGCTTTTCTGCACTTGTTTTTGCAAATATATCTTGAAAATCTGCTTTAGTTCATTCGTTTATTCAACAAGTGTATACTGAGTCCTAAATATTTGACAAGCCCTATTCTAGGTTCTGGGGTAGGAATTCCATACTCACACAGTGCTTACATTCTAGAAGAGAAACAACAGATTTGTAGCCAAATAATTTATATTTTCCGGTTAGTGTAAATGCTAAGAAGAAAAATAAAGCAGGTTAAGGAATTAGAGAGGCCAAGGGCAGGGTGACACTATTTTGAATGGAATCTTTAGAGAAAGCCTCTGAAGTGACAGTTAAACAGAGATCAAAATGATGAAATGAGGGATTCCAATTTGCAAATATCTGAAGGTAGAGTCTTCATGCAAAGGCCATGAGGCCAGAACAAGACTGAAGTGTTGGAAGAACACTAAGATGGACAATGTCATGTGACTGAAGCAGAAAAATCAAGAGGGAGGGTAGCATTTGAAGAAAGGGTCAGAGAGGTAGACAGGGGCCCGATGTAGAACCTACAGGAGTTTGCATTTTATTCTTACACTGGAAAAGTCTGGAGAGGTTAGAGCAGGGGAATGACATGAGATACATCTGATTGCTTTTGAAGAAGGTATCAATATAATCAATGAAGTAAAATTTTATTATTATACTTGCATATAATTGGGGATGAATCTTTAACTTAATTGGCTTATATTTTATGTAGGATGAACAGTAGCTAGGTACATTATAAGTTAAGGATTTGCCTGTTCAACTTGGTTTATATTATCTTGCAACTGTTGAAGAGAATTAGGTTTTAACACCTGTTCATTAATCATAGCAGAGGAATGCGCTGTTCTATGTAAGTGAATCTCCCAGAAAATTTAATGTTACCCTTGTTAAGTGATAGACTTTTAACCACCCTCAATGATTAACGTAAAACATGATCTTCCCATTTTCTTAATTTTGTAAGCAAAAAATAATTGGGCACATTGTTTAACTTTTTTTGATGCCTCAGGGTCCTCAGTATGATTGGCTGTTACTTCCAATCATTGTACTCTCCTGTAATATGTTGATTCTCTTAGAGAAATATATTGTTTGTTTGCCTCTACTGTAAGTGAGCAAGTTGCTTTCTTGGAGTTTGTGTCTACTTTTTCTAATTTATTAACTCATTAATCACATATTTGAGAACTTACAATCTACCAGGCTCATTATAAGAGATTCGGGATGTAAAGGTAAAAACATACAATCCTGTTAACTGTTATTTCTTGTATCGTTTTCTAATCATATGCAATATACATAAAATTTTAGAGCAAGAAAAGAACCTTAGATATCATGTAGTCCAAACCTCTTGTTTTATATATTAGTAACTAAAGCCCTTCATTGCTCTTTCTTTTAAACTCTGCTCTCTCTACACTAGACAAATACCTTTCTAGTATGATGAACAGTAGTGTTGGAAGTGTTTATCCTTTATGCTTTAGTCCCACCAATGAAATCCTAAGAGCTTGCTCTTTTGATTCTATTCAACAAATACCACTTAGGAATAGAAACGATAAAATTGATCAGAGGCTGTGATACTATCTTCTGAACAATCTTCTGAACAGAATTTTTGAATCAACACAGTATTGCACAGATAACAATGTTTAGGCTTTTCTTTTGCCACTTCTTAGTAAACATGATCAAGGAATTTGCTGTCTGTGTGCCTTAATCAGAATCAACTAGATGTCCATTTCTTACTTCGTCATGTTAGAAATGAAAGCAGGCATTAGATATTAATGTAGGAACAAC